CGGTTTATCCGTCAGGAAAATTGACCGAAATTACTATCTGTTAATTTTTCCATATTTTCATCGTATAATATGTTGTATTAGGCCTGTTGTTTTGTTCATTTCCGCACTGACAGCTCGAAAGAAAGATTTACATTGATCTGATGCAGTCTCGGTTCATCTGCTATGTCTCTTTATAATTAAGCCTAAAATACAGAATTATAGTCAACGTTTCTTTAATAGATTGATTAATTCAATTGATCGATTTCTACAAAACCTGACAATTGAAATGAGGCTCTGTATATATGAGAAAGTCTGACCTCGATTTGTATTTGGTGACGATGTCAGTGGGTTGTTAAAATTAAAGTGCACATTTTCACTTATAAAATATTCTATACACAATGCACAAAAGTTTGGGGTCAGTGTGATTAAATATGTTAAAACAAGCTTCTTCTGCTCACCAGGGCTGCAATTATTTCATCATAAATACAAATTGTGAAATGTTGCACTATAAAATAACTGTTCAAAAGTAGTTTATCATTTAATTTATTCATTTATTCCAGTGATTTTAAAGATGAGATTTCAGCTTCATTACTCCAGTCACATGATCCTTCAGAAATCACTAATATTAATTATTATTATATTTATAAATGGTAATAGTTATAAAATCAATAATGTCTGGAGTAATTATTTTATTTGAAACTAAATACAATAACAAAGCAGTTATTTAAAATTTTTATAAATATTTAACAATTACACCTTTTTTACATTTATAAATATAGCCTTGATGAACTGAATAGTTTTCCTTAAACATTTTAAAAATTACCGTAAATATATATACAGATTTATTAGCCCCCTTTTGTTTTTTCTTTTTAAAACATTTCCTAAATGATGTTTAACAAAGCAAAGAAATGTTGATATTTTGTCTGATAATAATCTTATTTGTTTTATTTTGGCTAGAATAAAAACATTTTTTAAACCATTTTAAGGTAAAATTTATTAGCCTCTTAAGCTAATTGTTTTTCAGACTGTCTACAGAACAAACCATCATTATACAATAACTAGCCTAATTACCCTAACCTGCCTAGTTAACCTAATTACCGTAGTTAAGCCTTTAAATGTCACTTTAAGCTGTATAGAAGTGTCTTGAAGAATATCTAGTCTAATATTATTTACAGTCATCATGACAAAGATAAAATAAATCAGTTATTAGAGATGAGTTATTAAAACTATTATGTTTAGAAATGTGCTGAGAAAATCTGTTCTCTGTTAAATAGAAATTGGGGGAAAAAATAAAAAGGGGTGCTAATAATTTAGGGGGACTAATAATTCTGAAATCAACTGTGTGTGTGTGTGTGTGTGTGTATACACACACACACACACACACACACACACGCACATTCAAATAGCGATTAACTTCTTTTTTTTTTTTTGGTGGGGCCAGTGAAAATTTGGGCTGGGCAAGTAAAAATCAGAACCACTGGCCCGATCGGGCCAGTAGAAAAAATCCTTAGCGTTGAACCCTGTGAGCACTGCTTAGTTTAAACCCTCGCTATTGTAACGCATATAAATACATACACTAATATTTGCTGGTAGGAAAAATCTATTTGTTCACTTCTGTTATTTATACTTTAATGTGCATTTCAATTTTTTTCTTCCACTTAACTGCAAATTTGAATAAAAACTGGATAAAGAGCACACAAACATGCTGACAGTAATAGGTACTGTACACTGTTATGGGTCAATGATGCTAATATTCGGCACAAATCCATCAGTTTCTTAGGTTATTAGATTATTTTATAATTTCACCTGTCCTGCTGTGCATGAACTATGCTGTTGAATGTTCAGCGTATGAGGTGGCTAGACTAACCTTGCTTCAATTTTGATAAAATTATTTTCTAATCAGTTGCTATTATGTTGTGAATATACCCCTGTAATGTATACTGCAGTCCTCTTTTGTCTGGCTTTCTCAGATATCTCACCTGTTTGCCAAAAATGACTAATTAAATCCTTGGGAATGTCTGACACCAGCGCATACACACTGTAATAGATGTGCCAGGCATGAAAGCTTGACAGGCGTAGCAACAGTAACTAAGGAGGGCAAGGCTTAGCGAAGGGTTATTCCAAGAATGTTGATATGGTTTCTTTCTTGCTTTACTATTTATTAACAATACACAAAAAACTAAAAGGTTAAGGTAAATTCTTTAATAAATTCTAGTGTTTTTGAGTATTATACTTGTTGTATACTTGTATTATACTTATGTTTTAGGCTAGTATTATTTACGACTTGTTAATTAATGCTTCATAATACAGTAGTATTACCAATAGTGAACAGATAAAATAATACAAAGTGTAGTTTTACTACAGTAAAGTGTAGTGATTTGTAGTATAAAATACCCTATATTGTAAAATAATACAGCACTGGGTAATTTGTTTATATTACACTTGTGTTACCATAGCAACTATAGTATTACCACAACTGATCAATTGAAGTTCTTTACTGTAGTAGGCTACTGTTCAAAACACGGTACATGCCAATATACGTGTTCAGGGGCCCTGTGGCACAGCTTTCCTCAAAATGAAGAGGATGACATGGAAAATGTCCTCCACAATCTCATCAGTAGAGTGGAAGCCAGCAGACACTAGTTTACTTTATTTTAGCTGCCATGATAAAATGAGATTGATAGTGAGATTTATTTGAAGAGTGAATAGTACAGTAGGCTATAATACCTTATCAAGTGTTTCCTTATTTTTATCACAGTTACATTTCTGCTTGCATTAGTTTTTGTTTAAATGCTTTTAAAATAAAATGTATTCTTTACATCCAACATCTATTCCAGGGGTGCCTTATAGTGGTGTAAACCCCTTTACAAGGGGTGTTACCCCTGTGTAAACTCTAGCCACCCCTGTGGCCAACCCGATATGATTTTGCTGTTGACATTATTTATTTAAATCTACTTACATAAATGCAATACAATGCAATATTTCAATAAATAAATAGCAGCCACTAAATTATTGTGGATTGATTGGTGCCACTGACGTAGCTGGCCTCTTCTGGCCCCCCTTAAGCAAATTTTCAGGGGGGCACCACTGGTCTATTCTCTGTCTTTAAGTGTTTGAAACTGAAAATATCTCATCATATAAAACAACCAAAAATGTTATAGTTTATTAGATTAAACATTTAATATATAAGTCTATTTTAGTATTTTGGTTATTGTTATTAAACAGTGCAGCAATATGAATCATATCAAAAAGCATGAAAGGAAGAGGGAACACGACACAAATTGTGAGTTTCCATATATTCTCTGAGAGCGCTCAAGAAAATTTGTGTGTGAGCAGTGCATATTTGAGAGCGAGAGAAAATTTGAGAACTCGCAATCAGTTTTGTCCACAAACAGAGGAAATCTGTGCACGAGCATCACACAAGGTAGAGAGCAAAGCTCTTCAACGTTATGTGAAGAAAACAACTTTATTGTTTGTATGAAGTAGCCTACTTCATTAACAATATGTGCTACCATTTTACATTGCTGCTAGACGGATTTGCAACTCCATCTCTTTAGCACACACGAGATTCAATTGACAAAATTCCAATTTCACTCAATTTAACTTTGCAGCATATACAGGAGTTGGTCTACTGCTACCACATTGAGGTTATGTAATTTTGGTTAATCACAAGTTGATCACCGAAGACATAACATAGCACAACTAAACTTAATGAATTAGACAGCAGTAGACCTGCAATTTCTGTGTGATGTGAGGCAAAATGGAGTCTTTTTTTGGTGGAACTCGTTCTTGTGCATTATGCTGTGGAGACGAGACGCAGCACTGTTCAGTACTTTTTCAGAAAATTGCATTTGTATTTTTATATATCTAAGCAATGTTCTTTAATAAAAAAGGTTTGTTTAATCAATACAGATCTTACAACCATACCTAATCTGTATATATTTTATTTTTCTGTTAAAAAGACTCGAAAAGACTCGAAAATCAAACTGCAGGACTTTGGACTTGACTTGAGACTTGTTGCCTTTGACTCGGGACTTGACTCGGGACTTGCCTGTCTTGACTCGGGACTTGACTCGGGACTTGAGGGCAATGAATTGAGACTTACTTGTGACTTGCCAAACAATGACTTGGTCCCACCTCTGTCACTACTACTGTTTCTGATGACGCTAAGCGTATAAATCTAACCTTACAATTTGTACAACCCTATTTATTTTTAGTCTTATTTTCAATAAATGATTCAGTTATTCACTTATAATACTTCATGTTTCATTGCTAAATGTGTCATTTTTGAAGAATTATTCAGTGGCATTTTTTTGATGGCTGGTTGTCTCCACCTATTGGTTAAGTGTAATTCCTACCAACTACTTTCATTTTTTGCATACATGTATGACGATGATTTTAAATTCTACCATAAACATTCGTGGTTTTATTATGATTTTATTATTCTGTGTTATTTGGCTGTAACTTTGATTGTAAATGCTTTTATACGTGTGATTTGAATGACATGAGAGGCTATCTCTCTCTCGGTCGTTACAAATTTAGGATTAATCTATCAGTAAATAAAAATGTATTTATCCATGGGTCATGTGTGTTCCAAACAATGCGTTGTGATAAATACAAATAACGGATCAACCCTGATTTGTTACAGTCTGCTACACCCCTAATATATATATATATATATATATATATATATATATATATATATATATATATATATATATATATATATATATATATATATATATATATATATATATATATAAAAAATCCTTCTCTGTCTGTTGCGCTCTTTCTCTCAAATTCAAATGAGCATTATTGGCATGATCATCAAGTGTTGCCAAAGCATTGCACATTACATAAACAATGAATATTATAGTATAATGATTACATAACACACACATAGAACAATCAGAATTTGTAGAATTAGGATCAATACATGCATAAAAAAGTAAAAGAAAAATATGACTATTTAAAAAAATAAATCATGAATAAAAAAAATATGGAAAAAAAATCTCTCTCTTGCTCTTCCTTGCTCTTCTATTCTCTCACTCTCTCTCCAAGCGAGCTCTCAGCTCCCGAATCTATTTATAGCTCAGTCCCGCCCCTCCCCTGTCGCTCGGCAGCTATTTCCAGCAGCCTGAAGCAGCTCCAGTCTGTTTGTAAACTCCACGTCTCTACACCTCTGCTCTCTCGTTCGTTTTGCACAGCGGGTGAAGAAGCAGAGATTCGGTTCAAACAGTTGCATGAACGCAACACAGTCGCACTAAACGGAACAACGTTCGGAGCCTCATTTTAAGCCCATTCATCGGGAGACAGAGGTTTGTTTTTCTGTACCAGGGACTGTCTGAACGTACCGAGAGGCGAAGGGAAGGAAGGAACAGAGGCATCGGCAGGCAGACGTCTCCCAGTGGTCTACATTGTGATCCCGTTCTGTTGTTTTCAAGCTCCGCCGCTTTTTGTCATGCTCTCTTGGAGTCGCTCGCTGATGCCACATGCATAACTTCAGATGATTGCAGGATACGGGCACGCTCAGACCGGAGAACTTGGATGGGAGCCACTCTCGGACTTGTCAGCGTGAATTAGCAGTTTGTTTCTGACGTATATGATTAGACAAGAAGGTGATGTGGTTTATGAATAGACTCGTCTGTGCAGCCGTACAGCTGATGGACTGAGTACACGTTATAAGGATTTATCTACAGCATTGATTCTTTCCGTTTTTAAATCATGGAACTAACGGGCGAAGCAGTTGTTGAATTTTTGCATGCATGTACCTTTCGATAAGAAGACATGCATAGCGTTTCCCCCTTCATCCTTTCAATGTGTTTGCATTTTTAATATACACATTCTTTTGAAACTGAGAGTTGGGTAGCCATCTCCTCTTTCATGTCGATTTCATTTTGTTTTTGCTTGAACTGTGTGGTGATATTTTGAGACTGGCATGCTTTTAAAGCCAACCGTACCGGGACTGTGCGCAATGTTGCAGACGATCTATGAGACAGAATCCTGCTTTTCTTCAGACAGCACATCCAGCAGAGAGCGACCCGTGGAGCTGCTTCCTCAGTCCAGAAGCACCAGCATGCCTAGCACCGGTGAGTTATCTGGGAGAGAGACATCAGATACACAAGTGCAAGCATGCATAAAGAGAAGTGTAATGTTTTGGGGTGGGAGGTACAGGCGTGCTTGCGTTGAGACTTTGAATTCAAAGGTTGTTGATTGTTGTTTTATAGAACAACAGTTGTGCTGTGGCTACATCTCGACTTTGTTTTGTCTTGGTCAAACTCTGTTTGGGTAAAACTTTGAGGGTCATGGTTGCGAACCTTGAATGGGCATCATTAAACAAAGATGGCTTCTTTTTCTTTATGCAGTGTGCCTTTTTTTTGCCATTTTATCATTGCATTCTCTTTGGCCAGATAATCTGTTAATTACGTTAAGGATATTACGTTAAGGTTGTTAAGTTAATATTGTCAGCCATGTGATTTTGAGAGTATTTAACCTGGGATTACATGCAAATGTGTTGTGGCAGTCATGAATGACCACAGTGACTTTGAACTTCTTTTTTGGATAGAGTAAAATACTATAATTTTGTTCCTCAAACTTCGAGACACTCTCTGCTTTAGGTTGGCAGAGCAAACTTGTGTCTCGACCTTGTCAGAAGTGACGTCAACATTCCCGTCGGTTCGGCCATCTCTCACCTGCACTTGAATCAACACCGAGGAATGACTATAACAGTGTGTGGGTGTGCGAGCACTGCGTTTGCCTCGCACCGGGCCTGTTTATCTGTCACCTGTTCAAATAGAGAGATATGCTGTTATTTTTAATCCATTCACTTCTTTATTTGGGGAAGGGAGCTCTTTGTACTGGTCTGAAATTTACTAAGGCATTTCTTTATTTTTTAAAGGGATAGTTCATCCAAAATGAAAATGCACTGTGCATTTACTTGCTTTTAGATCATCTAAGATGTAGGTGACTTTTTGCTGATCAGTTTCTTGCACAGAGAGATCATTTCATTTCACTTCAGGTCACTTCAATAAGACCTCAATGCATCATCAGGAGCCACAGGTATTAATTATGTTGAGCTTGTACATATTTATAAGTCCTTTTAGACATTAACTTGACTTTAATGAATCACCAAGGACCACGGTTTATGCTGAAAATCTTTCTTTAATGTTCTGCTGAGATGAAAAGAAAAGTCACCTACATCATGAATGGCTTGAGGGTGATTAAATTATGCCATTCAAGAGAGAAAATTTGACAATTTGATTTGAACTACTATAATGATTCAGTCATGACAGTTCTGCCCATTTAAGTACAAAATGTATTACTATGTCTAAATATTCTTTTAAAAAAGCATTAGAAAAAAAATCTGAGTTGACATTGTTTTGGAGATGTGGCTTTATAATCATTAGTCAAAGTCAGCATTTTTGTCAATTTAACCACATGTACAGGACATATAGAGAATCGAAAATTGTGTTACTCCCAACCCCTAGATGCCTAATATAATATTAATACAAAAAGTAGAATTTAAAAAGAAATGACAATAAATACAATTACACATATGATATAATCTAAATATATAAGAAAAATAAAAGATTTGTAAACAATGCAGTTACACTTAAAGGCATATGGCAAAGAGTGCAAACAGTACACTTTGTTTAGTTGTGCAGAGGCAAAACAGTATATAGTGCAAAAAGTACAGTATAATGCAAAATAGTATAGTGCAAACAGCTTGTAAATATGGTAAAGTGACAGTGTCTTAGTTGTATTTATTTAAAATATGAGGTCCAATCTTGTCATTTAAACAATTTAAAACATTAAAAAAACATTTTTCAACCTCTCTTGTAATAATAGGCTGTTCATGATATGTACCATGATTACGTAATCAGCACTATGATTTAATTTCCTTAGTAAAAAAACAAAAGCCTAAAGGAATTCATACATGATTTCCATTTGGAATTTCCCTCTCTTTTTGGAACCAATTCTAAAGGAGCCTTAGTTAAAAGCGTATTAAGGTAAATAAAAATGCAAGCAAATTTAAAATAATTTGCTTTGGAATCTTAAACAAAAATCTCAAGTATGAGTAGAATGAATTTTGTTACTCTCAAATCCAAGCTTTCTGTAGGACTAGACAAAAAAATGTCAAACAAGCAGAGCCTTCTTCCTTAGCAAAGCATGCTAGGCATTTTAGAATGTGTCATAGCTGTTTACTCTTCAACACTACTGTATAGTAGAGTGCTGACAGGTCTGATTGTCCTAAAGGAAACAGGACACCCATCCACATACGCTGTAATGCATCATGTAGAGCACATGTTCTGATTATGTAATGCAGTATATAGGTAGTGTTGGGGTTTGCACAATTACTCTACTTGTCTGGACATCTGTCTGTGCATCCCGCACTGGCTACACAGTTTGTTTATATGTAGAGCAGCTGCAAGACATTCTGTGAAGTATGCAACTGGGAGGTGTCTGACATGTGTTGATGTGATTCTTGCTCCAGCAGACAATTTTAAATTCGCAAACTCTACAAAGATGCATTCTGACACTGGTCCAGAATCAGTCAGCGCACCGTGATTGAGGCCAAATGAGTTTCTTCACCAACATTTCAGATTTTGCAAGTTACGGCGAATTTGCCGGATAAGCTGAGCTGATCTTCTAAACTTGCTGAACTGGGATCGAATCATTATAAGTCGATACTCCCTGAGGAGCTTTTTAATTAATTATACCTGGGTTATGTAATGGAAAAAGCCTTGCAACATCACACTGGATCATTATGGATTAGGTGGATTGCAGATTTGATGACCGACTGGTGGCACTCTGTACAAGCTTTTATCTGACTGAAAACCTGACACTATCAAATAAAATAACATTTTGGATTGTAACTTTGACTTTAGGGTAAAAAAAAACTCTTGCAAAGATTAAACTGATTTTAGAGTTTTAGTGAAGTGAAGCTCATGTGTTCTGTGGTCTGCTTCATCTGCTTTGCGGAAATCTAGATCTTAATAGTAGTTTGTGTTTTGACAATCACTTCAAGCTAGGGCTGTGGGATTAATCAAAATAGAATCGGAACCACGATTTGAAACGCTGTGATTAGCTAATCGCAAGAGGATGTGATATGTATATATCTATATTTGTCTGCGTGTGTGTGTGTATATTAAATATATATATATATATATATATATATATATATATATATGTATGTATTATTTATGTATTATATATGTATTATTTCATTTCCCCCACCCAGAGCAAATGTGTGACTGCCGTCAGTGTGTGATAGTCTTACTAGCCAATTGAGTCAGCACACTTTTGTTCTGCCCGATTAGGATTGTGGGACGATGGCGTCTGCAGCTTCAGAAGCATTAATAGATGAGTTTATATTAATAAAAACAGGTAATATTGGAATATTTTGGTTCCAGTGTATTGCCAGTGACGCTCAATCTAGCTAGCAACAGCAAAGTACGATTTCAGAGTTGCTTACAGCTGTTACACCAAATGAAAAACAAAGGCACCAGGAGATAACTAACAGCATAACTAACCACTGTTTGCTCTAGAGAAAAATGAGTGTTTAATGTTTTTAATATTTATAAAGCGATTTGAACAAAAGTTGGAGTTAGTTTATATTTTTCCAGTTCACTGCAAGAAGCTACAATACAGAATATTCAGCTGAAGCTTGTCTACAGAATCAAATAGCAAATCAAATTGAAATTGCAATATCTGTTTAAAAAAGGGCGATTAGATATTTTCCCCAAATCGCATGGCCCTACTTCAAGCACAAGCAAAGAATAATGTCTTTTGAAGTCTATGACAGAAACTGTCAACACTGAAGCTGAAACTTAGCATAAATGCATTGTATTGGTTCCCTGATCCCTTGACTTACCTTCAATCCTTAGATGTTTTATGCATGAGACAATTTGTGTTTTTAGAATGAAACGAAAAGCATCTGTGAGCTGTACACCTCATCAAATTGCGATATGGACCAGTGTATTTAAATCGTAAAGCACAAAAAGCACTTCAAAATATGAAATTTGCTGTGTGAATGAATGTCACAATTTTGTTCATAATACAATCAAGCATGTGTCATGATGTGGCATCATGTACACAAAAGCATCATAGTTAGAATTTTGACGAGTGTAGGCTTAATTATTGTATAGTAGAACAAACTAAATAAAAGTTGGAAACTAGGCATGGGGCAATAAATGGTTTTAAGGTTTAGCACAATTTGGAATATTCAAGGGATGAATATGCAAAAATGTTTTGTTATACTATTTCTAAGGTTGATGTAAAGGTTTTTTTTTATGTGTTGTAAGGAAATCTGTGTTTTTGAAGCTAATGACAATAGTAGAAGTCAATGGTTTATTTTAATTATGTTGCCTGAAATGTTTACCATTCCAAAATATTATAAGTGTTTATATAAATGTAATCTATTGTATTAAATGGGGGAAAAAGTTGTGTTTTTTACCCAGACATTTTTACAGCAGTAACAGGGTTTCTGCAGAGTCCTAAAATGTCTTAAATTTTAAAACCTAAATTTTAGGCCTTAAAAATTCTCAAATTCACTGACATATCATGTTGTAGGTCTTAAATAGTTTTAAACAGGTCTTAATTTTGCTTTGTCTAAGTAAAGCTACTCAATTTGGGCTAATATCCATCTAATGACCAACAACACATCTCAATAAAAGTTTTTTTTTTTTTTTTTATCGAAAAGAGATAAAGCTGTAAGACATTTTTACAGCAAATACCTCAAATTAAATTCCCTTATCAGTGAAAAAAACTGAAAACAATCAAACGATTCCTCATGATAATACTGCACTGTAAAACCCAACAGTCAACTTTATCAAACTAAATATACTGAAAGTTAATTCTACTCATTTGAAAAGAGTTTGGAACTCAGTGTTGAAGGTAATGAGTTAATTAAATACCTCAATGCTTCAGTTCACAGTACTCATATAGATTAGTTTTTAACTGAAATGGTTTTTAGCAATTGGTTTCTTTAAACAGTTTGAGTTGCCTTAGTTTATTGAGTTTTACAGTTGATTTGATTTATCTTTATGTATTGGAGGTTGCTGTGCTTAAATTGCTTCATTTACTTAAA